TGGCACAAGGATGGCTGATCTCCTTCTCCTCTTCTTGATCTACTCCTCTTTCTCCTCCAAACCTTCAAGAACACACCAAGAACACTTCAATCTCTTAAGGAAATAAGGGGAAAACGATGTTGGGGGAGTTCTGGGGGTGAATGGGGACGAGTTGGGGCGGAATGAGAGTTTAAATAGGGTGCAAACCCTTGGAACTTAGGGTTTCATCCAGCAGCGGTGACTCGCCGAGTCCACGATATGGACTCGCCGAGTCGCCCACTTAAAACGTGTCCTGAGTCTCGTCCCTACTCGGCGAGTCGGACCTTATGACTCGCCGAGTCCAAGGCTAAAATAGGGCAATGCTCAAATAAAATTCACATACCGGAAACCAGGTGCTACATAGCTGCACCGGACCGAAGTCCGGAACTGACTGGGACCTTGTCCCCTGCATCGGACCAGAGTCCGGAACTAACTGCATCAGATTGAAATCCGAAACTAACTGCATCGGATTGAAATCCGAAACTAACTGCATCGGATTGAAATCCGGAACTAACTGCATCGGACCGAAGTCCGGAACTGACTGCATCGGACCGAAGTCTGGAACTGACCGATCATGGCATAGCATAAAACATAACACTATCATAATCACATATACTGCATACTGCATCGAAACAGAGTCCGGAACACATAACACAAACATGCTTGTATCACAAAGACATCAAGCACTCTAACTACGGGAAGGAAACTCACCTCGTAAACTGGCTGCTGAGTGTATGGCTCTGGAAGCTAAGTGCTGCTGCTCCGGTATCTCCCCGGCTACAAGTCCATAAACACACTCAATCAAATACTAAACACTGCACTTTGGGTAAAATGACTCTTTTACCCTTGGTCAAAGTCAACTCTCATTTGACCTGACTCGCCGAGTTGGGCCGCCAACTCGCTGAGTCCCTACTCTCACTCTTCAACCCTACTCGCTGCTACTCGTCGAGTGTGGCATCGACTCGACGAGTACCCTCTCGATCCAAGAACTCAAACAATCTTCATCCGACTCGCCGAGTCATATGAACAACTCGACGAGTTGTTCTTGAGCTTAAGAAGATTGCCTTGGACTCGCCGAGTTGTATGAACAACTCGCCGAGTCCCTCCATTACTGAGTCTACCCTCAACTCGCTGAGTCCACCCCACTACTCACTGGTCCTACTCGACAGACACCACTCAAAGGAAGAAAACGGGGACTCACGACTCGACTCGCCGAGTCGTTCTTCCGACTCGCCGAGTCACCGCCATGCAACTATTCTACACTCGATTCTGCTCGAACCCAAAACATACAAATGATAGATCTGAGTCCAATAAGCTGGTTTACCACGTAAAGTTTCCAACTTTACGTGTACAAACACATGAACAAGGGAATAAAGGCTAAAAGATGCTTAAAAGGGGTAGATCTAGGTTTAATATGCAAAATAGCTCCATAAAGGCAATAGATCTGGGCTCTACAACTCCTAAATAAGCAGATCTATAGATATCTCGGCATAATAGGGCTTCCATATCAACATAAGGCTTGAGAGAAGCATCAACTAGATCTAACAAGGGGGGTTTAAAGCATAAAAGGGAAGGAAATCTGAAGAATACCTCAAAGAGCTCTTGTTTTCCCTTGAATCTCTGCTCTATAATCCTTCTCCTTGCTTCTTTCTTATTCTCCTTCTTCAATCCTTCACAAATGCACACAAAAATCACTTACAATCACTCAAGAACGAATTAGGGTTTTCTCACAGCTTCTGAAGGTGAAGGAGGCGAGAATGGGGGCCATAAGGTGGCTTAAATAGTGAGCAACCCGGGGATTTAGGGTTTCTCCCAGACGGACAGACTCGCCGAGTCCAGAATATGGACTCGCCGAGTCTCCAGCTAACACGTGCTCGAAATCCCGACCCTACTCGGCGAGTCAGGCTATGAACTCGCCGAGTCCCTCCTGCAAAACTTCAAAATAAATACCAAAGAATTAACATACCGGAAACGGGTCGTTACAATTATAATTTAAGAAATATACATATGTGCATTTTAAAAAATATGCACATATGCACCAAAAAATTTACTTTTAAAAAAAATGCATTTTTTTCAAAAAAAAAACTGCAGTTTTTTTTTAAATACATTTTTTTCTGAAAGAAAATGTAACTTTCTTTAAAAAAACTAAAACTTGCAGTTTTTTTGAAAAAATTGTAATTTTTTTATTTAAAAAATGCATTATTTTTTTTAAAAATCGTAGTTTTTTTGAAAAAAAAATGCAGTTTTCTTTAAATAAATTTGTAGTTTTTTTTTGAAAAAAATGAATATTTTTTTTTGAAAAAAATGCAATTTTTTAAAATATTTATTTATTTATTTTTTAAATTCAAATTTTCTATAAAAAATTAAAAAATCTGCATTTAAAAAAAAACGAAGAATACTATTTCTAAAAAAATATGAAAATTTGATTTATGATGTAAATATTTAGACATTTATATTAATATGTTAAATAACACAAAAAAAATTAAGCATTAAATGAGATTGGTAATATAACGATCATGTCCTTAATAAATTACTTTTGATCCAACACTCTACTTTTAGTTATCGGGTTCTCGGAAAACTATGTGTTCTCAACCGATCTCACTCTTATATATATATATATATATATATATATATATATATATATATATATATATATATATATATATATATATATATATATATATATATATATATATTTCACATTAAAATTGTATAAAAAGTATAAAAACTGGTATGATATTAATTAATCTAATCCTACATCATTCCATTCCAAAATATTAATACAACATCCGTTTAAAATACTCGTTCGGTTTAACATATAACAAAATATCGAAAATACTAGTCTAAAATAATTGCACAAACAAAACATAAAAATAATCCTACAAGTATCTACTCTTCATCATCGCTCTCCTCGTTTCCTTAAGTTTCATTTCGTTGTGGCAACAAACGAAACATGCATTTCTATACGAGCACGATCCCCCTCTGTATACAACTTGTTGTTGTGCACAGACTCCTTTGTTGTGACCGTATCTGCTTTGATAGTTGGATGTTTTTTGCTAGGCCTCTTCTTTTTTTAGGAAGCTTAGCTGAAAAATATAATAAAAAATATTAGTCACGATAGCTAAAATAAATGGATAAAAATAGCTAATAAATATATCATAATAAGACTTACCATCCCGTTCGTGTTGTCTATGACCAAAGCCTACTGGAGGTGGTGGATCGCTGGCTCCATCACCTCCATGTCCTAAGCCCATAACATCCGCCATCACGTAGAAGAGTATCGCCTAACTAAACCCAATATATAGCCTGCAAAATTACAACATGAATATAATTTACACATATTACATATACAAAAATAATACACTTTCTATTATAGCATCCTACTTTGTTGTTTTTTTTTTTTTTAATTATTATAGCATTGTAGTTTCCAAATTGTATACAAATACATACACAATATAGCATCATACTTTTTTTAATTTTTTTTTCCCATTATTGCATCCTACTTTTTTGTTCAATTTTTTCCATGCACAAATTCATTATACAAATATAACCTTTATAAAAAAATATCATTTATAGAACTTTAAAAGTGTAATAATTCAAAAAAAAATGGTAAAAAATTCATCATAATACCTCTGTGGATCATTTTCTTCATGCTACAAATTTAATTAACCAAAATACATTCTTCTTCTTGTAATTAACCAAAATAAATGCAAACTATAAATCCAATTTCAATTTCATACAAAAGTATACATCCAAAACACAAAATCATACAAACCATGTCTAATTCCGTTTTCATCCCAATACATCACAATGAACATAAACACAAATCAATTATACAATAGGTTACATAAATCTGAGAAAACATATATAATGACACAAAATCCATAAACTAACATCAAAACACATAAACACAAAAGGTCTTGGTAGCCCTCAAAATCACTAACCAAACAAACTCTTAGAAAACATATAAATCAATGCTAAAACTAACATCAAAACAAAAGAAGAATAGAAATTAAGGAAAGAATTCGACCTTAGATTGCTCAATTTTTCAGAAAAGTAACTGTGTCACTAGATGCCCTCATGGTCCTTGGACGCCGGCAATGAAGGACTTGTCGCCGATAATGAAGGTCCGGTCGGCGGCGAGTGTGTGGCAGCAATCGGCGGTGGCTGGTCGGAATCGGCAAGGAAAGCGCTGGGAGGATTTTGAGAAGAAAGAGGCAGACGAAACAAGATTGAACGAAGGGGGGGGGGGGGTATCTGATGCAAAAACAATAGCGGCGACAGGTATTAGTGGTGACGCACAGGTATTAGCGGTGACAAGGAAGACATTAGCAGCGACACCCCTGAAGAGAAAAGTCAGCACCTTTTTTATGCCTTTACAACCGTTGGATGGAATACTGTTCGAACGGACATGGTTTATTTCACGCGGATCGCTACTGTGTGGGCAATAGCGGCGACGCCTTTAGCGGTGACACAAGGCATTAGCGGCGACATATGATTGCGTCAATCATATGTCGTCGCTAATGCCTTGCGTTGCCGCTAAAGGCGTCGCAGTTATTGCACACATGTCTTCCAGTGATATTACATATACGAATTCAACAATTGTAAATACAAATAAACTGATCATAATTAAGTCAACATTTTTCATTACATCATGATTATCCATTTACAATTCAACAAGTACCAGAAAACCATTCATATTTGAGCTGACCGGACTTTTTTAGGCCGAGTGCACCTCTATTGGTACGTGACAAATATTTGAAAGTTATATTGAAGTCATCTACTATATACCATTACCATATATTTGTAAAACATACATAGATATCTAGGCAAAACTATTTGGAGTATACGTAAGAGTAATACTCATTGTAGTTTCTGAGATAATCTGACACTACCCAGGAATCTTAGAATACCATCAATCAAAGCACTCTTGAACAAAAAAAAAAATCAAAAAAAAAAAAAAAAAACAGTCCGACATTTATTCAAGATCTAATGGCTTCTCGACATATAGGGCAACTTCCATTAACCAACAACCACTTGTTAATGCAATGGCCATGGAACGAATGTTGGCAGGACACTAAAAGTTGGATTGTCTTCGTCTTCTTGAAATCCTTAAGACATATCACACAGTTATCGTTCTTGCAGGTACTACTGTCGTATATTTGCTCCTGCGTAATTTTACCAAGATACCCATTAGGTTGAGCCCCTGCTTGTCGATCAAGGTTTGCCTGTTGTATCGGTAACACAGGATGGTGTGGGACATGGGTGGCTGTTAGCGTTCGGGTTGGTGGTATTCTTCTGGTTTCAATATCTTGGATGACGAGGCCATAACATTGATAGCACAACTTGGTACAACTAGCAAACAGTACCAAGGCAGCTATACAGACCAAGGCTTCGACCAAATACAAAGCTATGTCCAACAAATTAGTCATGGCTGATCTCGATTATAGGTTAGGTTAAACTTTCAGTTGTAACTGTGATCATATATGTATATATTGCTGAGATTCAAAATCCTCTCGGTGGTTTCCTTATTCACGTGACTTCCACGATAAGCTAATGAAGATTCATATAAGGAAACATAAACCTGCAGGATTGCGTCGGTGGCAATAAGGAAATATCTTATTAATTTGATATGAATTATCTTCTTTTACGTCTTATAAGATTATTTTGTTTTGTTTTAGTGGAATCCTAAGATATAGCTAGGAATATGATTTCGTATTTGGTAGAAACCTAGTCGTACTTCTTCTAAGCGGGTCAAGAAAAGGGGTTATGGTCTTATGGATCATGATGGGTTAAAGAAGACCGAGTGTGTATTGTTTTATTTTAATTAGACAAAACTGATGTTCTAGTATGCATTTTTTAGGAAAAATGTCCAAACACTATAAAAATTCGATGGAAGGACCTTTTCAACAAGTTTTTTTTGCCGTATTTGTCTACCTCCAAATTCAAAACACTAATTTGCGTTATATGATCTTATGGATCATGATGGGTTAAAGAAGACCGAGTGTGTATTGTTTTATTTTAATTAGACAAAACTGATGTTCTAGTATGCATTTTTTAGGAAAAATGTCCAAACACTATAAAAATTCGATGGAAGGACCTTTTCAACAAGTTTTTTTCTTACTAGGTGTGGGACTCATCTATTATATGAGTTTAATTAAAAAAAACAAATATAAAATTTTAACAATTTGAAAAGTTTGAATTTATAAGAAAAATAAAAAAAATTTGAATTATTAAAATTAATGAAACTTTAATGGATTGAATACATTACATATATAAACTCTTTCTAATAAATATTTTACATATATATTACCTTACACATTAAATGTGGAATTTTAATTTAATAAAATAAAAAATACAATAAAATGACAAGTGGAAAATAAAAATTTTAAAAATTCTAGAAAATGACATGTGTCCAAATGAATGAGAAGAAGACATGTGGCAAAAAACCTTCATTTATTATAAGAGATTATTATTTTTGTTTAATTCAAAGATTTATTAGGAATATATATATATATATATATATATATATATATATATATATATATATATATATATATATATATATATATATATAATCCTTCAATCTTGAAAAGAATTCCCATCTTAAATCATCATCTTTGTGTAATGATTCAAGAAAGGTTAGAGCGTCATCAGAGCGTGGTGGTTGGAGTTCTCTTTTTCCTTACTTCATCCCACTATGTCGACTCCTAACTTCCAACTCCAATAATATGTAGATTCAAAATACAATCATTTCAATCATCTCCAAGGTTCGACTCCAACCTAGATCTATCACCATTCTTATCGGCTTACTCTCTTTTCCCTGTCCCCATTCCACCATGGGAGACTGTCGCCTCAAACCTGCAACCACATCAAAAAAAACCCACCATTTTTGTAATGCCTGGATCCCTGGTACGCATTTAATTTAATTATTTATTTATTTTAAGAGAAGGACTCGATGAGTTGGTAGCCCTAGGAGGAGGACTTGGGGTGACTACAGACTAGTGTGGAAGGTAGTATTAGGCTCGTACTAGTGAAAGCACCGGATCTGTAGACAGTCCAAGTAAGAATATTTAGGATGCTAAAGAGCAAGTAGGGAGGAGTGATCGAGTGGAAGTATACTCGAGTGAGTCTCTGATGATTTTGTGTTGTGTTTCAGAGACATCATGGTGGGTACACGCCACAACCCATGGAGCAGTGGGGATAGTGATGATGAGATTTGCAGGATGATCCATGATAAGGTGGCCGCAACCATACAAGAGGAGATTCTAGAGGTGTTTGGGTCTATCAAGACCACTTTGATCGAGACATTTGATGAGTGGTACGTTGTTGTTATTGAGGTTGTTGTTGCTGCAACAACCGCAACTGTCTCCTCTGCTAGGCCACAGAGAGGTGACTCGTTGTTGCTACGAGAGTTCAGCAACACGAAGCCACCAGAGTTCGATGGGACACAAGATCCGATTACTGCCATGAGATGGATCTCTGACATTGAGGGTTGCTTTTACACATGTCCATGTCTGGATCACTTGAGAGTTCGGTTTGCGCTGAACTAGCTTCGCCTGGGGGAGAAGGACTGGTGGAAGTTTGTGACTGCCAATTTTACTCCTGCAAACCATGTTGTAAAGATGTGGGAGAGGTTCACACAGTTGTTTCGAGATAAGTATGTTCCTCCGGTAGAGAGGGAGCGTCTGGCGTTGGAGTTTCTGTCTCTCAAGCAGAAGACGGAGTCAGTGACTGAGATTACACAGATGTTTCATGAGAGGGCGTTGTTTTGCCCTGAACACGTATCTATTGAGCAGACACGCGTGAGTCGCTATCTGAGCATACTGAGGAGAGATATACGGGAGTTCGTGGCGAACTCATCATACAGGACATTAGCTGAGCTTCAGACCAATGTCAGGAGCAGGGAGATTGAGCTAGAGTTACAGACCAGATAGGAGGAGGAGTCCTGGGGCAGGGACCAGAGACCAGTGCAGTCGCAACCAGCGATGAAGTAGGCTAAGCCGGCTGATACGAGGATTGGGGGCCAGAAGGGTCACACTTGTGGTAAGTGCGGCAAGAGTCATGAAGGATCGTTTCGAGCGGGGATTTACTACAAATGTGGCAAGGCGGGGTGTAACGCCCCGATTCACAAATATTAATTATATAAGAATTCCTCTTGATTTCAAGGCCTACTCGACGAGTTAGTTGGCCTGACTCGTCGAGTAGTAACGGGTTGGTCCGTGTGTTTAAGTGACCTACTCGCCGAGTCCAAGAAAAGACTCGACGAGTAGGAGCTAGAGGATTAAACCCTAATTCTCGGGGTTTTGCACCCTATTTAAGGACCACTTATCCCCATTAGCCTCTCTTACTGCCCTCCCCCCTTGAGTTCAGAAACCCTAATTCGTGTTTGCTCCCTATATTTGTGTACTTCTTAGCTTGGAAGAGGGATTTTTGGAGTAAAAAGCTTGGAGTTCAAGAAGTTTGGTGTAACATCCGGATTCCCAGGTATATTATTCTAATATTTTTATTTTTGGAATTTGTGAAGGAACTCGGCGAGTTAATGCTTAGACTCGTCGAGTAGGGTCGCGGATTATCATCCGGGTTCGCGACTGGACTCGGCGAGTCCATTAGTGGACTCGGCGAGTCCACGCTGTTTAATGAAATCCTAATACCCCGAGGTTGGAGCCTATTTAAGGGCACTCATAGTCCCCCATTGCGGCTACCAGTCCCTTGAGATAACCCTAAGTGAGCTAAACTGTTTGGGAGGAAGGAGAAGCTATATTTAATCTTTCTATATTTGGTTTAGCAAGAAGAAGGTGATCAAGAGCAAGAGAAGACTGAAGGAGGTGTGATTCTAGTGGTTTCAGAGTCCAGAGACTTCAACTTGAGGTATTTATTCGGATCTTCTTCAGTTTTGGTATTGATTCTTAGAGTTAGGGTTTTCTAACCTCTTTTGAGGATGGTTATGTGGAGCAATTGGTCCCTTCTCGAGTTATGCTTTGGATCTGGACTCAAAGAGGTCCAGAGACCGTAACCCTTAGAGCTTTATGAGTTATCTTGGGAGTCATGAGCTTAGAATGTCATTTTTGGGGCTAAATCACCAAATGAGACCATGTAGATGATATATGAGTGTCAAGGTTTGGACTTTACGTGATTATTATGCTTAGGAAGGCAAGATCTATGCATTAGAGGAACAGATCTGACCTCAGGAGGTCAATGGAGTTTGTGCATGGCATGTACTCGCCGAGTTGTTCTTGAGACTCGGCGAGTTGAGTCGGGGTGGCCCCGCGATTCATACCTGGGGACTCGTCGAGTAAAGGGAGGGACTCGATGCGTTAAACAGGACTAAAGAGTTAGTGGACACATGTGGACTCACCGAGTTGCCCAAGTGCACTCAACGAGTCGGGTCAAAGTTTGACCGTTGACTTTGGTTGACTTTTAGGTTTTGGTCAACAATGAGGGCCTTTGAGCCAAAGGAGGGGTAAAATGGTCTTTTACCCTTCTAAGGGTTCCTAGAGAGAGTTGAGTCTAGTTCTGAGAGTTATATTTATGAGAGTATTAATTTATGTGTTTAGGCGGAGGCTAGATCGTATTTCTACCGAGTTAGTGATTTACCGGGACATCTGAGGCGAGTCTTCTCACTATACTTTACCTTGAGTGGTAATTAGAGTTATGTGACAGAGTTATCGTATGCTATTATGTGATGTGTTGTACTGCATTATTTCTATTTGGTTTATGTCATGTGTATATCAGAGTATATCAGAGTTAGAACCGGAAGGTTCACAGAGTTAGGACCAGAGGGTCCATAGAGTTAGGGCCCATGGGCCCACAGAGTTATGGCCTCGAGTGGCTAGTATGTGTATGCATGGTATTTTGGGGAACTCACTAAGCTTTATGCTTACAGTGTTATGTGTTATGTGTTTCAGGTACCAGTGATGATCGCGGGAAGGCGCCGGCATGATTCGTACACACGCATGGGTTTTTATGTATTTTGATATTGGGAAATATTTTTGAAACAAAGTATGATACAATGGGGTTTTATCAATAAATGTGTTTGGAAAAGTGTGTTTAAACTGTAAAAAATTTGTTTTAAATTTTACGGTGTTACATTTGGAGCAAGAGACTATTGTAGATCTGGATTCTTCTTTGTCGTGGCATCATTTTGGAGGTAAAAAGTTGTTACCTTGTCTCTCTTTTAGTTAGATCTCTTCATTTATGGGTTTGGGCCCTTTTTAGGGTTTTGTGTGGTGGTTCTCCGATTTGGGTCAAGATCTGAGGTTCCAACCACATATCTGGACTCCTTTAGCCCCTATCTATCATAAACTTTCATTCTTTGTCAAGCTATGACCTTCCCCTTACCTTAAGCCACTCCTCTAGCTTGTTTTGGGCCATTATCATCTTTTATGCACGTAAATTTTGCAACTTTACGTAATAAACATGCCCTAAGGGC